GATCCCAGCCCCCGCCCTCACCCGTGGGGCAGGGCTCTCGTGGGCCTGTCCCGGCGCAGGGCACCTCGAGGTGCTGTGATCCTGGGGGAGCCCGAGGGCTCCCTCTGAACTGGAAGCCTCTGTAGGGGCTGCAAACTGGAGTGGGAGGCCCCCAGCCTGGGGCTCCCCCCAAACCGCGGGGAGCGAGGCCCTGCCTGTGCCCCCCTCGGCTCCAGCCCCACCTCAGCTCAGCTCGGTTTTGTTCTGGGGTCTAACTCTTCTGTTTTCCTTTAAATACGTAAAACACTAATTCCTTTTTTTAATTTTTAATTCCAAATGAACCAAAAAAAGAGCTTCTCCCTTCTCTCCCCCCCTGCCCTGGCAGAGAACAGGGCTGGGAGGAGGGGAGCGGGGAGCCACGAGCCGTTCCTTGTCCGATTCCTGTGCACACTCTTGTAACGCTTTTAAAACAAATGATTTTTTTATATAAATAAAGTTTTTAAAGTGTTCCTGTGCGCTTGCCGCCCCAGCCGCCCCCTCGGCAGCGTTAGCTTTGCTGTGGACCCCACGTCTCTCCCAGGGCCGTGGCTCCGAACGGTGCTGTTCTTGACAAACCTTTCCCCAGGTTGGGTCGTGTCCCCTCTCCTTTCCAGCAAGGGTGGAGGGAAGGCGAGGAGCACACGAACCGTGAACTGAGCCTGTAACTGCTCCTGCAGGGCCCTGGGACTGCTCAGGAGGCAGCTGAGCACCCTCCTCCTGCCCAGAGCATCGGGGCTTCCCTCGGGAAGCCTTTCCCGGGGTTTTCCCTGTCCGCTGGTGAACTTTGCGCAGGTGGTGGGGCACCATCGCTTCTGTGGTGCTGAGTGCGTCCTTAGCCGGGCTGAGTGAACACGGCTTGGCTGCAGCCCTGCTCTGCCCTGGGCAGCGCCAGAGCCAGGCTGAAGCTGCGTTCGCTTGCTTTGCCTTCACCTGTGTGTATGTGAGTAGAAACTGTTGGCTTGTGGTTTGTTGCTTTTTTGGAAGCAGTTTTCTGGCTTCTGCTTCAAGCAGCTTTTTTGTGAAGCTGCATTGCTGCTGGAGGGGTTTCACCAGGGCGCAGAGCAGCTCTGTGCCCTGTGGCAGTGGCTGCGTGTGGTGGCACAGGGCTGCGCTGTGCTGGTCCTGTGTGGTGCTGGGCTGGGGCTGTGCTGGTGTCCTGCGTGGTTTAGCGTGGCTGGAGCTTGCGCTGCTCACGGGGAGGCCGGGGCTGCTCTTGGGAAAGCAGCTGGGGCAGAGCCCCCTCCCTGGGCGTGCAGCAGTGGGGACCCAATGCACGTGTGGGCAGGGGGAAGGCTGATGGATGCCCCTGGCTCTGGGGGCTCCAGTGCCCCGTTGCCTTGCGCCCTTGTCCCCAAAGCCACCAGTGAGCAGAGCAAAGGCAGGGCCAGTTGTTTTATTGCTTCATGGGGGGAGAATGCCAGGAATGTCTTGGGATGGGGACGAAGAATGGTGTTTGGCTTGTCAGGGACAATGCTGGGGATGTTTGGCTTGGCTGGACCAATAGCAGGGACACTGACGGGTGGGACAGCAGGAGGGGGTGTTTGGCTCAGCAGGGACGATCCAGGGATGCTGATGCTGGGGACGGTACCAGGGACACCTGGGCAGGCAGGAGAGGTCAGAGGAAGAGCTTGTCGTGGCAGGCCTGGCAGTACATCTTGTCGCTGCGCTCGCGGAAGGAGCCTTTGTGCAGCTGGCGCAGGCAGTAGGCGCAGATGAAGTGCTCGGGGTGGTACTTGCGACCCGCGGCCGTGGTGATGGGGCGGCCGCAGCCGTGGCAGATGCTGCCCTGGCGCTGGTGGAAGTGCTGCTCGCAGTAGGGCCGACCCTCCAGCTCAAAGAAGGAGCCGCTGGTGAAGCCACTCAGGCACTCCTGGGGACAGGGAGACGGGGACGGCTGGCACGGCCTTGGGTCACGCTCGCCCCTGTGTCCCCATGGCCACTCACCGTGCACACGAAGCACTCGGGGTGCCAGACGCTCTGCAGGGCTGACAGGTAATCGTCTGTCACGGGGCGCTCGCAGCCCTGGCACTTGGGGGCAAACATGGCCAGGAAGTCCTGGCGGCAGGAGGGCTTCCCGCTCCGCTCGTGGAAACCTGCAGGGAGGGCACCCAACCCCGGTGCTTCCCTCTCCGCGCGTGGAGTCCTGCAGGGAGGGCACCCACCCCCGGGGGCTTGCAGTGGAGTAGGGCCACGGGGGTGCCCAGGGTAGGAGGGGCAGGGGAAAGAGCATGGGGTGATGTTGGATGAGGCAATGGCTGCAAGGGCTGGGTGGGGGGTACCCGGGTGGGGGCAGGAGACCCGGGACTGTTCCCCTATCGTACCGTCCTCTCCAAACACCTTCCCGCAGT